AATCATTAGCTTGTTGGTTTTCAGGGTTAGAATTCTGTATGCTTTTGCTTCAGTACTGTATCCCAAAAATACTCCCAACTCAGCATTCATTTCTAGCTTGGATCTCCTGTCATCCGAGACATGGCAGTAGCACACTGATCCAAACACCTTTAGATATTTTGTTGATGGTTTGATGCCACTCTAAGCCTCTACCGGTGTCATGTGCTTTACAGCCTTTGTAGGCAGCATGTTGAGCAGGAACACAGCAGTGTTCACTGCCTCAGCCCACAAGGCTTTAGGCAGGTGCTTGTCAGCAAGCATGCTTCTTGCCATTTCCATAATGGTTCTGTTCTTCCTCTCCGAGACACCATTTTGTTGAGGAGAATATGGTGCCGTGAGCTGCCTTTTGATCCCATTCTCAGAACAGAAATCATTGAATTTGCTGGAATTGAATTCAAGCCCATTATCTGTCCTTAGACACCTCAGTACACTGCCACTTTCCTTCTCTGCAATAACCTTGAGCTTCTTGAATTCACCAAAAATTTGAGCTTTATTCTGCAGGAAACAAACCCAAATCATCCTGGAAAAATCATCTATGAACAAGCCAAAATACCTGCAACCACTCATGGAGTTTTCTGTCATTGGACCACAAATGTCAGAATGGATAAGTGCCAGCTTCTTCTTTGCTCTCCAATCTGCTTGCGAAGGAAATGAATTCCTTGCCAATTTCCCTAGCTGACATGCACCACATCATGTCTCAGTGACTGCAATATTTGTGAAGTCCTTAGTTAGACCTCCCTTCTGCAGTTGTTGTAGCCCAGCCGCATGAAAATGCCCAAGGCGCCTGTGCCAAATCTCACCTTCAGTTACAGAGACAACACTGGCTCTCTCAATTACTTCTCTGAGTTTCAAGGAGTAGACTTGATTCTTCTTTTGGATGAAAGCAATCAAGCGATCCTCAGGATCATATATCCTGCAGCAGTTATCCTTGAATCCAACCGAGTAGCATCGATCAGTCATCTGATTCACACTGAGAAGATTCTGTGAGAGTGTAGGAACAAAATTTACATCAGTGATAAATTTTCTGCCTTCCTTGGTTTCAATGGCAATGTTGCCTTTGCCCTTGATGGTTTCCAGCATGCCATTTCCAAGTCTTACTTGGCCTGTTGCTGATTTGTCAAGTGACATAAACATGGCTTCATTCTTGCACATGTGAGAAGTGCAACCACTATCAACAACCCAGAGGCTGTCGTCTTCCACTGTCAATTCACTTGAAGCAACAAGAATTGTATTTTGCTCACTGGATATCTCAGTAACATTTACATGTTGCAACTCCTGCTTAGATTGTGCAGCTTCCAGCTTTTGTTTTTGCCTACAGAACTTCTCCTTATGGCCAAGTCTTTTGCAGAAGTTGCATTGGACAGCTTTCTTTCCCTTATACCAGCATTCACTCTCTAAATAATTTGTGAGGGTGCAGATGTTGCAAGGAGGATACTTCTTCTGTTTTCTGGAATTTTGGTTTCCAGTTTGATTTCCTCCATTCCTTCTGCCTTGATACTGATTTGAAGGCTCATTCAATAGGTACACGAGCATGCATGTTGATACGTTGCTCCTGTGATTGCAACTTATTGATTAGTTCAGTTGAAGAAATCTTATCAATATCTGCAAGTTCCTCAAAGGCTGAGATTTTAGACTCAAATTTTGGTGGTAAACTTATAAGAATTTGTTTTATCACCCTTGATTAAGGAAAGTCCTCCCCCAACAATCTCATTTTATTCACAATATCCGAGAGTTTGGAGGCATAGTCCCTAACAGACTCATTTTCTTGCATTCTGAGTAAAGCAAATTCACTTTTTAGCCTCAGTAGTTTGATCTTCTTGCTTCTGTCTCCTCCATCAAACTCTTTCTTGGGTGATTCATAGTTCATAATCCTAGAGAAAACCCTGTCCGAAACCGCTGAGAAGAGGCAGGCAATTGCTTTTGGTTTCTTGGCCTTCTCTTCCTCGTGCCTTTTAATCTGGTTCAATGTAGCAGTTTCTTGTAGTGGGTTTAGTTCGCTATCGTCTATAATAACATCCCATAAACCCAGAGCTTGGAGGTGAGCTCGCATCTTTATTGCCCACACATGGTAATTTTCTCCGTTGAACTGCGGAGCAGGGGTAGTTCCTGAGGTAGCCATCGGGTTTAAGAAATTTTTAATTCACCTGAGACGTAGGAGAACCTGGCTCTGATACCACTTGTTGATCGGAAGCGAAAATAAGCTTCAAGGGAAACTCTGTGATTGAACAAACTTAGAGAGAGAAGGTTGAGGAGAGAGAGGGCAGCAAAATAGAGCAGGCTTATGCAGCTGCCTCTGTTTTACTGTTCTGCAGAGACGTGTTTTTGCTGGAGAGAAGAAGAAGTTATATTCTCTTTTTTATTTCAGCATATATATATAAGAAATACAAATTTAAACTGATTACATCAACCAACCGATCAAATCAAATCAAATCCTCAGAAAATCATGCATACATATCGCATGAAATTTACGTATCCTACTGTGATTCAACTTCACGGTGGATTTTATTTTTTGAATTTAAACTTTAACAGAAAAAATCATTAATTTTAACAATGTTGGTGAGGAGGGATTTCTTGATGTTTGATGAAAATAATAAGTATTTGCTTAAAAAATTGGAATGCATGAGAGTTTCTTCTGATGTTTGTATATATCAATAGAATGATATGGATGCTAGGCAATTTTTGTTTAGCATTTTACGAATAGTGGGTACTCTGTAATTTGGAGCAAACACTTTATAGAGTTGCTGGCTTAAGGGGTCAAAGTGCTTGCCAAAAATTATTATCTTCTAGTCCCCTGAAAAAATCGTACTTAGGAAGAAGGCAAGCATGTCAAGTTGGAACCTATTTATTTCTTCGTGTTGAAGCCCCCAACATTCCTGCCACTTATGGAGCTTCGTAGCTGAGATTAGCAGTTTTTTGCTTGAGTCCTTGTGTTTAGAATGGGCTATGAATCAGATAGGTAGGACAAATATTCCTTGGAAACAGCATGTGAAAGATGTTAGTCCTCTTGAGACAAAATCTTCTGTCAGGAGCTAGACTGAGTACAAGAAAATGCATGAATTATGAAGACTCTGGATATCTGACAGTTGGATTTGTGTTCTATAGTGGAACTTGATATAAAGCTGCTTTCGTTCAATAGATGTATTGGATTTAAACTAGTACTTGTGACCGTAACTTGAATAGAATCTGTTCTGTAGACTAGTACTTTTGTGTTCTTGAGTTCTTAAGGACACAGGTTTCTGCCTGATGCTTTGTTCAAAAACAAAATACCTGAAATTGGAACTCAGCTTCAAGCTCAAGCAATAGAGTGGGATATGCTGGTTCGGATTCATATTGAATAAAATTCTATCAAATGGAAGGCAAATGTTGAATTGGATAACAACTACCGAGTATAGATCTAGGGTCTAGATATGGTGAAAAGAATAGGCATAACCCAGGCTCCAGTTCTGTTATCGCCACTGTGGTATAGGTTAACAAGATATGCCAGAGAAAGTTAGCATCAAGTTTGGATGGTCATCATAGAAAGTGGAGTACTTGGTTATGACTTGTGGGCTTCAACCAATGGGTAAAACTTCTTGGCAGTCAATTTAAGCTTTCCACATTCATTATCAATTGGAAGATTATGTTGTTCCTGAGGTTTAACAGTTATAGGGATTCTTTTTTACCTGAATCCTTCAAGAAAAAAAGAAGAAGAAAATGAACATAAAATTCCTCTGTTATTGTGGTTCTGATGATAGGTTGTTACATTTACATAAATCAAACTGACATTACAGCAACCTTCATCCTGGCAAGTCTCACATTCTTCCCAGTTATGTAAGATATTGTTTCATGACATGGCATATGTTGTTGTAGGGTATATATTCCTGCACAACAGGGAATGAACTAAAAATGAAAACAAAGAGAATAAACATGGAGAACCACCTGTAAGTTTTTCACTATTAAGAACCCCTTACTATTATTTCCTTACATAGCACAGGGTAAGGAGAAAAATAAAAAATTGCAAGAATATTTCCCACCTATGTACGAGGAGATACGGAAGTATAATTTTTTTTTTTTTCAGTTTTTAGTGATGAATAATACAAAACAGTGGTTTCTAAGCCCAAGCTTTTCTTTTTTGGATGCTCCTTTTCTGTATTCTCTGGATGCTGATGTTTATTGGCTTGGATTTTGGCTTTCTTTTTTCTAATTTCCCCAGTATTGATACTGTAGAGGTTATGACTGTGAAATAAAATATCAATAATTGCAGGTACAATATGGCAGTAAAACCAACAGTTGCATTGAGGGCTATATTTGTTGGAGGCATAGCTGTATTTGCCAAAGTTGCAGGGGCAATGAAGGCAGCTGGTGGTGCAAAACTTGGAGCAGCAGCGACAGCCATGACAATGGCTGCGACTGCTGCTATATCGGGGTCAAAACAGGATCAAAAGGATAGTTCCAAACCTCCCTCATAATAACTATAATAGCTTCTTCTGAATTTCCCACACTTTTGTGGTGGGTTTTTTTTTAAACCAGCTACATTTTGAGCATAGTTGGCAGCATACAAGCCATGTTTAAATGGTAGCTTTGACTATAAGAAAATGCTCAGAATTTAAATACTTGAAATAAAGAAACAAGAGCCTTGATGTGCATGAAATGAACATTCATTTTCAAATGTGATGAAATTAAGATTCACTGGAGGATCAATTTTCCTGCAGACTGCACACTTCAACTTTCAAGTTAATGCACCACTTATGAAAATATAATACAGTTCTACCTATTTCTTTTTTTAAAAAAAGGAAAATAGCTGTTTATGTGATGTGAATTTATTTGCAAAATTGAACTGGAAAGATATTAGTAAAGAGTATTTTTTATTATTCTCTTATAACATTTTTTAATCTTATAAAATTAAATTTAATAAAATATAACAATGATATTTTATTTTATATATCTTTAAACTTTTAACTATCCAAACCGAGAAAAAATTTTCCTTTTATTTTCTTTCTATCTCGTATAAACATAATATTCTAAATAACCATAAACATTTAATTGGATTACTCGATTTTGACTATTTGATTACAGAGTTTATGCTTCTTTATGACATGACAAGCTTCATGTTTGTTTACCTTTAATATTTAATCCGAGAGCTTCCCTTATGACCTAAAGTTCTTTTTAGATCACTAATATTGTTTTTATTGTGAAGACTTAACATATCATAAGAACGAATGAAGTTATCATCACGCAAAAGACTTTACATATCAATTGTCTTTTTCAGTCAGACTTATCACTTGGAATAAGTGACTTTTCGTTTATGAAAAAGAACCAATAAATAATTTTTTTTTTAACAGTAATAAAATGACAGCATTATCTCATGAACTGAAAAATCGTTATAGTCTGTAGTCTTAAATACATGCTGGAGCAGCAAATGGCAACCACTAGGATGCTAAAGCCTAACTAATATCTCTAAACACTTTTTTTAGTCACGTTTATACTCCTTCAAGATATTAAAAAAAATTGGGAGACTAATTCAACAATGCAGGATTTGATCAAAAGCTTCAAAACTTGAAACTGAAGGGACTTCCATATTCTCGGGAACAAGGCTTGTTGTACAGAAACAAGAGGAACTAGTCAATACAAGCTACTTACAAAAAGATTTGCCCACTGTTTTATTGAAAATGATTGGCACCAAATATCAAGAACTTGGTAATAGGTTTTGACACTATTCAATGATGCAATCTGAATTTAGTATCTTATCCTGGTTATCAAAATCTTTAATAATTCCACACACCTCATGGCCAACAATTTAATCAATTTCATTGAAAGTCTTCCGAATTTGAAAGGCAGGAAAGTAATTATAGGTGGTGGTCCAACGATTCCTCATATACACCAACTTTCATAGCCTAACACACCCATTTATAACAAGCAAAGTAGATAATTAATTTCTTGATACCATTATCATATCACGCAGAATGCCAAAAATAAGCATCAATAAACAAAACTATTTTCCTGAGTTTCTTTTGGCAAGAACTATTCGAGCTTCAAGAAGTCTCCCATTTCACAGTCTCAACTTATCATCTGTAAACAGATAGACAAGTTAATGTGATTAACAAATGTCTAGAAACATACTCCATTGCATGTGCCATGAAACGTTGTTGGAGTGGTTCACCCAGCACTCTCTAGCAGAGTTTTATATACCAACTACCATAGCTCAATTATGATGCCCTTGTTTGAATGAATATCTACCACTATTATACATTCCTTTGCTACCAAGACATTCGAATATTCAAACTTAGATACACGAATGGGGAAGAAAGTCGAAAAATCTTTAGATTTCATCTACAACAAGCACAATATTGGCTCATTAAAAGACCAAACAAACTCTAGTTTTATTGTTGGTTCAATGAATAGGTTACAACAAAAAGGATGTGACCTGCGAAGATGCCCCCCACATTATAGACCAGATTCGACACTTTCTTTTGAGAACATGGGATCTTAAGGAGGTCAGGCTTGTGTAAAATTGGAAAGGAAGGAAAATATACTAAATAACAAACTAAGAATTAGTTAATTAGTTAAAGTTACTTAGAAGAAATCAGTTATATTACCTGTGTAACTGAGAAGAATGTATGCGGAACTTGAAGAATAGCTACCCCATTAGAGTCTCTCAATCTATCTTCTCTATTTGTTTTATCTACCTTTCTTGCTCGTCTTTATTCTTCATACATCAATGTTGGTCTTGTTTCTCGTGTTCTTTGATTGTTTGATTATTTGTATTATCAAACAATAATATATCTGCTCAAATACATGAATCCAAATCAAATATTGAGATTCCTGTGTGAGCAAAAAATATAACCCTCACTTACATATCGAGATTCCTATACAAGTGATGTTTATATTTCTTGCTCACACAGGTGGTATATATAGTTTAACCAAGCGGATGTCAGCAGAGCAGCTCATCATTACTCCAGTGGATGTCAATATTACATATCCCAGAGCACCATTTTTTCTCTTTCTTCATATTGATTTTGTCTACCTCAAGCCTGGCCTTCAAGCACTAACAATCATATGTGCTTCTCATTATACAATTATTAGTACAGAATACTCAGCAAATTCACCATCTATGGACGGTCTTACTACAGCTGATGGACATTTGAGCTGCTTAACTTTGAACCGCATGTGAAGTCCGGTTGATCAACTGAATGCACCACAAGCTTAGGGTTTGGAGATTCTAACTCAAGTAAGACCTGCTCGGTTGACCAGAAAAAAATATATGTTTACTGAAAAGAAACAAGTTAAGGTCTAAACAGTATAAACATTTTCTGAAAGAAAATAAAACCTTATTAATTAGAAAGCACAGGGACCTTTTTGGAACCAATTGTTGTATACGGGTTGGCACCCCTTTGGTGTCTTTGTTAATAATACTGTTTATGTAAAAAATAAACAAGTTTTTTTGAACCAGTTGTTATAAGTATATATATATTCTCTCCTTCATAGCTTTACTTCATGCCAATGAGGCTGTGACATGCGGCTTCTGTTGGCAACATGTGAGCTTTTCCCAGAAAAAGAAAGGTGATTTTTTGTTAGTAGTCAATCCATGAATCAGCCATAATTGATTTGGTCCATATTCATGATCCAATATGACCTTTTCTTTATAAAGGGATGATCCAATATGACTGACTATGAAGCAATTATTATGAAATTTAAAATTATGAACATATCAGGATATAAAAGACCCAGAATGTATGAACCAAAAGGAATATTTAGGTGTCCCATACCAAAGTATTCTTCCCATGCCGAAGGATTGGTGCAGGCACATAAAGGTTGCATTGTGGCCCAAAGGACTGCAAGAGAGCCACTAATGAATTCCCAATATGTCAAAAGGTTCATGTACTATATTCTCTATAACACAATTATATAGAAATAAATCAACAGGAAATAGATACTTAACAGGCCAATATCTCCCTAGATTGAACTCGTTGACAAAGACAACTCCTTTACCCCAACCATGGAATGATAAGTACGTATCCTTAACTAGGTCCACTTTGTCGATTGAAATATGACCAAGATAGAATGCTGGCTCATTTGAAACATTGCCTGCAGTGAAACAAAAAGCAAATTATCAAGGTTGAGGACAAGCCAAAATTAACAAAGAACTGGTAGTTGGAAAAATAGTTGACTGTAAATCAACCCCGTAGCCTTTATTACATATATCAAATCTTCAAAAGAAATTCTTACTAAAATTATGCTCTAAATGTTTGCAGTCAGAACCCTTAGTCAACTCAGAATATGCATGCCGAGCTACAGGATTGATTTTTGGCACTTCATTGAGGTTTTGGAAAGGAATAGGCAGCATCTTCCATCCATGCAGAACGTGTTCATCTAGAAAAACAGGGGACAGAATACCCTACAAGACCAATAGAATATAATAAGTTCAACTGATAGAGAAAAGGTTTCCAGTTTTCCATAAGAGAGAAGAAAGTTTTGATCGAATATTTTTATTGATAAGATTAAGTTGTAAGACATTTTTATGTGCTTTAAGATTCTACTTTTTCTAAAGCGAGTTCTACCACAAGGTGAACTCTCACTTGTAACCTTTTTATAAATAGACCTTATAAATGAAGTGAATGTGCTTCTGATTCTTGAAGACTTACCCATTGACAATCGGAATAAATTCATTCATCAAAGTTCTGACAACCCTAATTTATTTAACTTAGAAATGCGAAGTGAAATGTAGATATAAGTAGTAAAGAACATTAAACAGCCAAATAGTGATCCAAAAACTGACCCATCAAAAACATTATATACATCTTCCCCCTTTTAATCATCAATCAACAATATAAATCTTTCTCTAAAAGCAACAACTAACACCGCCATGAAGGCCGTGGATATGGAAGAGGTCACCAAAACAACATTCATGGAGCCTACAATCCACGTGTTCAAAACCACTTCTCAAACCCCAATAATCATCCACCCATTGCCAGCCCAGGGTTACTTGATTCTATGCCTGCTGCACCTGTCATCAATTTCTCTCTACAGTGTCAATTCCTTTTACAATTTCACCATACAATAAGGGCATAAGAGTAAAATACACCCTATGTAATTAATTGTTTAGTTTCTTTTATATTTTAAAAAATCTGCATATGTAAAGTTATGATATTTAATAAAATATACATCAATAATTCTTAATCTGATATTAGAGCGTTACGTTAAAGAAACACTAAACTCTTTTGTAAATTCTATTCAGCCTTCACTGCCGAAACCAAAAAGACCCTAAAAAGAGGCCACCCTTCACAGCCTGCTATCATAATCCAGCCGCTAGCCACCACTAGCTGCCAGTCACCAACCGCGAAGGTCGGCCTTCATCGCTTTGAGCACCAGCAATCCAGTCGGGACGACTCTTGTGAGCATTGACCTTACTTTCTCAACTGCATAGATTCTGCCCCTACTACTTGGATGTGGTTGCTCCACCAGACACATACCTGCCGTGCAACGACTCTGGAATTCTAAAGAAAATAAATTATAAATTAAGTGTGGAAGCGAAATGATTAGTTAGAGTTTACATTCCTTACATAATAACTTAAATTACCAAATAGTATTATGCGAATTACCATTTTAAAGGAAATACAAAAAATTAAAAAAATAAACGGAAAATAAAATAAAATTGGCATACTAGTCGCAGCCCTCTTATAGATTGGGATATGAATTCTGATCCTTTTGATA